TGAGTGTGCCAGGTATGTCTCAATGCATTTGAATCCCAGTGGTTTATGTAGCTTGGATTTAAGTTAGGGTTTTCCTGTTTTTTAAAAAAAACTAAGCTTCTGGCCAGGCGTGGTAGCTCATGCCTGTAATCCTAGCGCTTTGGGGAGTTGAGGTCGGCAGATCACCTGAGGTCAGGAGTTTGAGACCAGTCTGCCCAACATGGAGAAACCCCATCTCTACTAAAAATATAACAATTAACCAGGTGTGGTGGTGGGCACCTGTAATCCCAGCTGCTTGGGAGGCTGAGGCAGGAGAATCGCTTGAACCCAGGAGGTGGAGACTGCAGTGAGCCAAGACTGTGCCACTGCACTCCAGCCTGCTGAAAGAGCAAAACTCCATCTCAAAAGAGTACAGGGTTAAAGGCTAAGGGGAGGGTATGGAGTAGGGAAGCTGCCTGGAGCTATAGATGGAAGGTGCTCCAGTGATAGCAGCTTTCTCTTAGAAAGTTCTGACATTAGCTTTTCACTCCGTAGAACTCTCAAGATGCCTTGGGCTGGAAAGAGCCCAAAGATAGCTCTTCTGAGTGAGTTTCCATGTGACTGTCTCTGTTCCACAGCTTCTGACCTATAGAACACATGTGAACGGCACACACAAAGGCATGTTCACGTGTGCGCACACACACACAATTACATGGAAAGTAGGAATTACAAATAACCGTGAAATAATATCCCATTGGTCCCAGATTTTCTTCGCTACCCTTATCTGATCATCCCTGAGGGTATTTGAACTAGGAACTATTCACTATACAATTTGAGAGAGTTGAGTTTAAAATGCAAATTATTTTTCAAGGGTGAAAAGCATGACTAATTCTTACCCCTTCTAAAGTATTGAAATCAAACTTTCCTGTTTAACTAGGGAAAGGGATTAGGAGGTAGAAGTTACAAGGTATCTGAAGTCTTGAAGAGAAGTACTTAGACTTTCAAAGACAAATTTCCTCCTACTTAAAAATGTGTCAAGAGGGAACAAAGCTGGTATCAGTGGAGGGATCTATTTCAGTAGGGCAATAGAACACAAGCCAGACTGCAGAGAGTGAAGAGCTAGGAGCGGCTAGTGCTGACTTGTTGTAGGAGGATGGCATTGAAAGAAAAAAGAGAAATGATTGCAGTGGTGACTGGGAACAAAGGAAGGTCTCTTTCTTTCCTTCCCTCCTTCCTTCCTTCCTTCCTATCTTTCTTTCTCTCTCTCTCTCTCTCCTCCCTTCCTTCCTTCCCTTCCTCCCTCCCTCCCTCCTTTCTTTCTTTCTTTTGTTCTTTCTTTTCTTTTTTTCGAGGAGTTTCGCTCTTGTTGCCCAGATTGGAAGGTTGGAGTACAATAGCATAATCTCAGCTCACTGCAACCTCTGCCTCCCGGGTTCAAGCGACTCTCCTGCCTCATTCTCCCTAGTAGCTGGGATTATAGGCAGATGTCATGACAGCCAGCTAATTTTTTGTATTTTTAGTAGAGACAGGGTTTCGCTATGTTAGTCAAGGCTGGTTTTGAACTCCTGACCTCAGGTGATCCGCCCGCCTTGGCCTCTCAAACTGCTGGGATTACAGGTGTGAGCCAGTGCACCTGGCGAAAGGTATTTTTCCAGATGAGTATAGAAAGAAACATTCAGGAATGTGTAGCTTTTGGTCATATTCCCCTATCTAGTCCATCTTTTTCTTCAAAGGGAGTTCAGCCCTGTAAATCATTCTAACAATGTTTTTTGTAAATGTGAATTTTTTATATAATAATTCAGTGCCCTAAAATATGAAAAGACAAAACAAGTCTTGCAAGCCAATTGTCCCACAGGACAAGTCTGTACTGTGGATCTTTGCGAAAGCAGCTCAGGCAGATTCCTTCAGACGTGAATCACAAATGTTCAGGGGGTCATCTTTTCCACTGCAACTGATATGTCATTTGTATTTTGGGATATTTTATAGAGGGATAGGATATCTTCGCTGTCCTCATTTCCTTCTTTCTTTGTGTATTGTAGCAAGCCCTGCTGAGAAACACTAAGCTACAGAAAATCACGTCAGCACTTAGCATCTAAATGAGGACTGCGGAGGGGATAAGCTATACTCAGGCTCCTTTCCTTAGTCTCTAAGTGATAGCTGCTAAGAACAGCTCAAGCCACCGTTCCCAGAAAGCCTGAGATCACAGGAACTTTTTCTGCAGTCATGATTGAGGCAGAGAATTCTGTTTTGTTTTCTGATCTTGTTGCCTTGGTCCCTGCAGTATAGACTTTAGAAAATATTTATGTTTTGCATTGATGGATACAATACCAGTTTATATCAGTATCGGGAAGGTAGGTCTACATGGTAACTCTCAGAATTATCCTGTAAAACAACTAGGTGAACAGTTTAAGGTTGGAAAATTGACAGGTTTTGGCACTTTAGTGCCATTTTTACCGCTTAATGGAATTAAATCCAAACAGATGGTAAAATGGTCTCTCCACAATCTGATCCAACCATCAATTTCTACTGTCTTCGCTAACCAGCTACAGATCCAATAGAAATAAACTCAAACATGCATTTGAATGACTTACTCCCTTTTGCTAGTTTGTATTCTTGATTTTCTCCCAAGGACAATGGGAGAAATGTACAATGTTCCCCAAACTTCATTTTAATTAGTGGCCTGGATCTCTCAGACACAGGATAGATAATCCTTTTGCTATCACTCTTCTTCCTATTTTGAACCATGGTAGTTTGGAAGGTTTAGACTAAGAGACATATACGCAATTAAAAATACCACAGAGAGTATAGATGAAATCAGATTGGTCAGAGATTGATAACTGTTGAAGCTGAGTAATTAGAGTTTGTTATATATGCTGAAAAAACATGTTTTTTGAAAACCTTTGAAAAAACATGTTTTTCCCATAATATTAAAATTTTAAAACAAACCCCATTATGCTGAAAAGCAATAACCTCCAGAATCCGGGCTCCACCAGATGCCTTGGACTAAGGTGAGGAAATGCGACACGGGATAATGTGGACAATCTCCTGGTTCACTATTTAGTATCCTAGATATCGATAAGGAAGGGAACCTTCAAAGTGTGTATGATAAACCTAAAGAAACTGAGTACAGGAAAAGGATTGAAATTCATAGCAGCAAAAGGTAATTGCAGTTTTGAATGAAGGGGAAATTCCTTCTAAAGTAGGATGGTGTAAGTTTGGCCTGGAGAGTATAAGAATTTCATCTACAGAGCTGCATAGAAAGACTGACCTATTGGCCCTCATATCGGGTCTTACTGGGACTACTGGAATATAGCCCCATAATGTGCCAGTACCGTAGGCTGCTGAAGTTGCAAAAACAGCCTAGTTTTTAAAAGCGAGTTTGGACTGGTCAGATGATGGTGAATTTAAATGATCCCCTTATGATCTGATTTTCTCTGGGCTTTGAGAAAACTCTAACCTAAGAAGCATACAGAGAAATGAAATGATCAATAACAGGGGCTTACAATAAAGATTGAGAAAAACAAACCATAAAAGTTTAGCTTATACTGAGACTGAAGCGTCTACCCAAAGTGGATGGTAGTTTCCGTTGAGAGGTCCTGGGAGTGCAGATATATTTCAAGTGGGAGGCAATGGGGAATGTTATTTATGTGACCCAAGCTCAGTGTTTCCCCCGGCTGTTAACCCAGCCTGATCTTTTACCGAGTGAAAAAAAAAAAATCCACTTTCTGAAAAATAAAGATTTATCCTAAGAAAAATTATATTGACCTTGTTTTCTAAGCCATATGAATTCTCCCCCACTTTTCCAATGAAAATAGACAAGCGTCACTAGAGCCCAGAAAAAAGGAATTTTATTAATAGTCGTAAGACATAATAGTATTATCCAATATAGAGCAGCATTAAACCAATTTTCCCAGTTGGAAAAAAGAAAAGAAAAAAGAAATATCTTTCCATGGAAGAGAGAGGGTTTGGATTCAAACTTCTTTTCGTCTGGTCCTTTTTCAATGCCCCATTTGTCACTATGAAATATCACACAAAGGGGATCCTTCTTTGTGTCATATTGTTATCCACGGAAAACTAAAACAAAGATGCATCTTAGAGCATCCTTCTTGTCCACAAACTGGTTTCATAAGAAGAGCTGTAATGAAGTGTCTTTTCCCAGAACCCTCACAGCCTTTGTTGTTATTAATAATTATAAGAGTTATTGTCTTTCATGACAAGAGAAATAGAGATTCTGGAAGGAAACGCATAGGGCTCAAGTTGTGGAGGCCATCAACAAGAAAACGGAATTCTCAAAGCCCTCAGGCCTTCCTACTGTGCAGCTGCTGATCTAGCCCACCTCAGAGCTACTCCACAAATCCCAGCTTTTTTTAATGGATCAGGAACTTTTTTTTTTTTAATGAACCAGGGATGCTTTTAAATTACTCTTTTGTAGTGTCATATTTTTTTTTCAGATTCCAAAGCAGCTCCTCACACCTTACCTTCTTTTCTCTCTCTCTCTCTCTTTTTTTTTTCTTTCTTACACCTTACTTTTTATTTCTCTGATTTTGGAGATTCCCAGCCTCTTTAAGGATGAAAATCTGCTCCTATCGTGACAGTTTTAGTGGATCCTCGCTTGATCATATTCGGCTTTTTTGTATTTGTTAGTAGGAAAAACTCAACATGGCAAAAACTTATGACAGAACCCCCGTATAAATTCAGTAATTTTAAAATGAGTTTGTATTTTATTGTTCATAATATACACCTAAAAGTAGTAGCACATAATGTGGAGAACAGTAATTTCAGCTTTACACAATGCTTGGTGAGAATATGGATTCAAAGACCCTTCTCCAATAACTGATTCCTTCGCCAATCAGGAATCCCACATGTCATCATCAGATGAGATTTCAAGAGCCATAGAAAGGTTACTCTAAAACATAAATATAGAGGACCAAAAGATAATGTTTTTCAAAAGCTGCCTTAAAATCCAAAGATTTTAGACAAATTCTTTTCCTACTGCAGAAGAGAAATGGACTCTGTTTTAAATTCCTGCTGCAAACCTTTGGAAAGAAGTAGAGGTGGTAACTTCTGTTGAAGAATGAGAGCAGAGCTACAGTTTACTTCTTTGTCCAAGGGCATCCTTCTGATTTGGTGGTGACAGACTTAGGTGGGGAGAGAGCAAGAAATGAACAGAACTGGGTAAGACCCAGTGTCATTATGAGATAACATTTGGAGTAAAATGGGGCCGACCAGCTAAGGTAAAACACTTTCTAGGCCTGCTCATTCCAGATAATTAAGTGTATTGGAAGGAAAATCAAATTGGTTCCTCTCTGACCACCATTATAATCACCGTCATCTGCTTGGCTTATCCTGCATTCTCATTCTCTTTCTTTGGAGCCATAAGGATTAAGATAAATAAATTCAAAGGAAAGAATTTTCTCAAGTTACTAAAAGACAGTTCTCCTCCGAAGTGTCCCAACTATAAAAAATTGTGGCAAATACTTTTCAAAAAACTTATCTTGTACTAATTTACCTAGTAAAACTGTATATGATAGGGGAATCTCATCATTATTCTCTCCTTTTCAAGCCTAGGAATTTCTGTTGATGGACTTTTTTAGACAGTAATTTCAGGCAGGCCTACAACTGAACAGCCAAGCAGAAATTGTGGTTCTCCATTTGTTAAATGCTTTCGAGGTCCTTACATAAAAGGTTCATAATGAAGTATTAAGAGAAGCATTTCAAAGGCTTTGGTTGGTCAAATTTCTCTGCATGGCATAAAGGGGAAGACGACCTTATGCAAAGCCCTGATAGTTTCATTAGAAGCATAATCAAGATTTAACGTGAAATTTAAAAGTGACTTTTCAAATGCCACCACAGATTCTTGATGAAGCACAAATGTTTAATTTAAATTGGGGCTTATAGGAAAAAGCAATTAAAATCTAATTGTATTATACAGGAGATTTGTACATTTTCTCCTCAAAGTCAGGCAAGGGGAGGAGGGGTTCTTAAACCCTGTTTTTTAAATTAGAACTTTCTTTCACATCTCTTTTTTCTTTTTTCTTTTTGAATCCAGACACTTGAATTTGGACAGACAAACAACCCAGCCACCTTTCAGTGTGGCTGTGTCAGTATCGGAATGAAATGAACATGACCCCCTCCTGCAGGGAAGGGAACACACAGTAAAGGTATTTTTTATAGAACAATTCACACCGCCCTGGTGACTAGGAAAAGGAATCTCGTGTTTCTCTTTTGCTGATACTGAATCAGCTGAAGAATACCATGAACATCAGTAGAAATGCTCTGAAATAGTCTCCTCTCCCTTTTGTCTTTTTGTTCTTATGAGAGGGAGAGAAGAGAGACTTTTTTTTTTGAAAGTTGAAATATTTAATTAAAATGCCAATTAAAAATGGACTAATTGGTGATTCTGCTTATAATTAGAAATGTTGCAAATTATTGTATTAACTTGCAAATAGTTTTATGAAGTTGGCATACTTATCAACATTCCAATAAAGATGGCTACACTCATTTATGATAAAAATATATTTTCAATTCTCAAAGGAAGCTTATCTCAGCAAAGAAATTTCTTTTCTTGCTTCCTCAACAGTTTGTGTAGCAATTGGATTTATATCTTGGTTAAATAGATGGTCAAAATGAGAACTGATGAAGAGAGAGACTGAGCTTATATCTGAACTGGAGAGAAACTCCAAACACCCCAGCAACCTGCGTTCTGTATGTTACTGTGTACTTGTGTATTTGCCTATGAACAGTTGCATGTATGGATAGTTTATGTGGTTTCCAAGAGATAAATGAGAATGGTGATGATATTCTTTAGCATTTGTGTTTATAATTTACAAAGTACTTCCATATACATTATCTGATTTTCTGAGCATTTAGAAATGTTTGCAAATTGAACAAATTAAATAAATTTGTTGAGACATTTATATTTCTAAAATATTTAGTTTCAAACATGTTTGTTAACCCAGTGCCCACTTCGTAGTTTACATAACATTTTTTATGTCTAGAAAAATGACAGTTTGAGCAATTACTTAGAATATCCTGAAAAAAAAAATAAAGTCAGAAAGTCCAAAGTAAGAGCTCATTAAATTTTGTCTCCAGACTTCGCCTCAAGATCAGATTCAACAAATAGAACTTGCTTTGAACTACCGTCCTTTCCACAATGCTGACATCAGGATTTGGTTAAAAAAAGGGGGGGTGGGGAACTGCTGTCCATTTCCCCCACATCACTTGGAATATTTGTGGAATAGCAATTTATAAAAATAGGAACTCCTCCTCCCGTTATTGGTCCTTTATTGGTAGGGGTCCTAAAGATTCACTAAAATCAGCCACAAATTTAGAAAGAGCCCTACTCCATAGAACAGTTTTTCCAAGGAGAGATCTCAAGCCTTCCTACATTTCTGGAAATGAAATGATCTTTACCCAACATATTACATACACTTACCTGTTCTCAGTTTCAGGTAAGAGTCCGGTTACTTACCAGCTGTGGCTGAGTTGGAGGACACAGGTGAAAAGAGAGATGTACACAGAAGGCTTTGAAAGAAACATAATCCTCTGGAGTTTAACAGCTAGAGAAAATTCTAAAAAACTGGGAGATGGATAGGCAAGATGGAGAAATATTCTCCTCAGTGGCAGTGGGATGGAATTCTCAAAGCCCAACTTCCTTGGTGTGTAAGCGATCCCAAACAGAGTTAAGGGGAGGTGAAATGGAGCTGCCAAACGTCCAAAGGAGAGATTATCTACTTAATTAAAGTTTTTTTTTTCTCCCTCTAAGACCTTCAGCCAATCAGAACTCAAGTGCCAGAGAAAGATTGAGTCAATCAAAAGAACACTCCAGGATCCTCCCAGACAAATGCAGAAGAAGGGGACCAGGAGAAAGAGGACAAAGAAAGAGGCAGGGGGAAGAGACATAGCAAATCCCCTGCACATAATCACTGCGTGGAGTCTCTTACCTCCCTCTTGCCGATCCCCTCCCACCACAACCTTCTCCCACCCATACACGCTTACACAGACACACACACACACACAAACACACACACACACACACACAGCCTGGTCCCCAAAAGGGATCCAGAAGGCACTGTGCTTTCCTGGTTGTCCTTTGTAGCACTTTGAGACTGAATTTGCATTCAGGATAGCTTTTTTCCAGAAAAAAATACACCAGGTGCAGGTGAACCTCCGCCCTCTGATTTGAGAATGTGGGGATGCAGTCCTACCATCTAGTGTATTCTCTCTCTAAGTTAAAAGGCTAGAAACTTCAGGAAGCCTGATGGTTGTTTCTTCCTTTCAACTTTTCCATCACACAATTACTTACTGCATGCCTGTTTCATTCTCGACGCTACACTAGGCATTGTGGAAATTTGTAAAAACTAAAACGTGATTTCTGCTGTAACAACATTTACAGCCTAGTAAGGTGACAATAAAAGAATGCAGTTTAATAAACTATTAAATACCTGCAAACTGCCTATATAGTGTAGACTTATTTAAGGGAGGTTTTCTGAAGAAGGTAGAATTTGAGTTTTGAAGAAGGGAAGAGATTTCAATAGGCACACAAAAGTAATCTCAAAATCCCTACTTTCTTAAACTCGGGTGGTGGAGCCAGGAGGGGACCCAGGCCCTTGCTGACACTCCCCTGGGACTGTATTCCTTCTGTTTCCCTAGGGAGGAGGGTGGCCTCAGCCACAGTGCTGGGGATCCTCAAAGGGCTCCAGACTGATGTCCATGTGGCCATATGGCCCTGTCTTTTTTTTTAATTTTCAATTAATATTTGTGGGTATATAGTAGGTATATATATTTGTGGATTACATGAGATATTTTGATACAGCCATACAATAAATGAATAAAAACCACATCAGGGTAAATGAGTACCCATCACCTCAAGAATTAATCCTTTGTGTTACAAACCATCTGATTATACTCTTAGTTACCATGTACAGTGAAATTATTATTGATGATAGTCACCCTCTTGTGCTATTGAATACTAGGTCTTAATCATTCTTTCTATTTTCACACCTATTTTAGCATCCACATCACCTTTCTTAAGGTCTGCCTGAGACGATGGTCTTTGTTCTCTTTTTATTCTTGTTCCTCTTGCTCCCAAACCCTCTCTGGCTAGACTGAACCAGAAAATAAAGAATTAATACACAAATTCACTTTCTGTATTACCTGGGCCAGATGATTTAGTGGTCTTTACCTCAATATCTTAACTGTGTAATTTTGTTGTCTACATGGAATCTTCTAGACCAAGTCTTTATTTGGGATTCCAAATCTTATTGTGAGATGAGCTTGCTCAGCTGTGGTTCCTACACAAACAACTTTAGGTTATTCTCTGTCTCTTCATTCAGAAAGGGAGCAGCAGAGTCTATTTCAGTCCAAGAGTCAGGTCCTAAGAAGGTAAGGAGCGATGGCTCCTGGATTTCAGCTTTGACTCTTCCCTGACCACAGTTTTTGCCATTTTTTGACTAGAGAACTCCTAAGAGATACAAAAATTCATTGGGTGGTAGAGCAGATTTGGGCAGTTTTTGTGTGAAAAGGGAGAGCTGATTTAAGATGAGTTGATTGAGGTACTATCCCATGCCCTCAGAATTTCTTCCACAAAGGAAAAAGTTAAGACTTTTATTGTTCGTCTATCTATTTATTTATTTTTAGAGACAGGGTTTCACTATGCTGTCCAAGCTGGTCTCAACCTCCTGGCTTCATAAGATGATCCCGCCTTGGTCCTATATGCTCGGATTACGGGCGTCAGCCACCACGACTGGCCTACTTTTATTGTTTTGCACGAAATTAATATATTCTTATAATAAAAACTTAAATATGACAGAAATAAAGAGTGCAAATTCCCTTTGATGACCTGCCTTCTCCCCTCTAGGATGACAGCAGTGAAGTTTTAGATGTTCTATCAGGAGGTTTTATATGCATATGTAAATGTGTATACACATATTTTTCACAAAAATGAGATTATATAAATTATATTTTACAAATTGCTTTTCTCATTTAATAATATACAACTTCCTATGTTAGGGTCTAAAGATCTCTCTTATTCTCAATTTCTTAAAGAGCAGGATAGTATAAACTTGTCAGGTTACAAGTAATCTGATTTTGCTCAATATTTAGGTTGTTTTCAGTCTAATAAAGGAATTGGCAGTTTTTTATTTCTTTTTTGTTGTTGTTGTTATTCTTTGGGCATTTAAAAGGCAACTTTTTCAACACCTGTGAAAAGAAGAGAACAACAAAAAAAGGCAACTTTTAAATTTATTTCAGTTTGAATTGAAGTATTGCTACTTTAATCACCTTGATACCAGAGGAGGGCCTTTCTCTTAGCTTCTGGTGTTGCTGGCGATCCTTGGCATTTCTTGGCTTATGGATGCATCACTTCAATCTCAGCCTCTGTCATCACATGGTGTTCTTCCTTTCTTCTCCTCCTCTCCCTCCTCTTCCTCCTCCTCCTTCTTCTTCTTTTTCCTTCTTTCTTCTTCTGTTTTTTTTTTTTTAATTTTTATTTATTTATTTATTTTTAGAGACGGTGTCTCGATTGTCCCCCAGGCTGGAGTGCAGTGGTGCGGTCATAGCTCACTGCAGCCCTAAACTCCTAGGAACAAGTGATCCTCCTGCCTCAGCCTCTTGAGTAGTTAGGACTACAGATGCACACCGCCACATCTGGCTAATTCTTACATATTTTTTAGAGACAAGGTCTTGCTATGTTGCCCAGGCTAGTCTCAAACTCCTGGCCTCAAGCGATCCTTCCATCTTGGCCTCCCAAAGTATTGGGACTATAGGTGTGAGCCACTGCCCCTGGCCTCTTTTCTTCTGAGAAGGACACTATTTGTGTTGGATTAAGAGCCCACAGTACTCCAGCATGATCTCATATTAAATTGACTAATTACATCTGCCACAACAACTCTATTTCCAAATAAAGTCACATGTTGAGGTAGTGGAGCTTAGGGCTTTCATACATCTTTTGGGAGGACACAACTCGGCCCATAACACATAGGACACTTACCTTTAAACATTTCAATCTAAAAACTCCAACAGGCAGGCATAGTGGCTCACGCCTGTAATCCCAGTACTGGGAGGCCAAGGCAGGTGGAAAACCTGAGCTCAGGAGTTTGAAACCAGCCTAATCAGCATGGCAAATCTCTGTGTCTACCAAAAATACAAAGGTGCTGACTCATGCATGGTCAAAGGTGGTGAATCTGGTGTGGTGACTGGTGCCTGCCTGTGGTCCCAACTTTGGAGGCTGAGGTGGGAGGATCACTGGAGCCTGGGAAGTCAAGGCCACAGTGTGCCGTGATCACACCACTGTACTCCAGCCTGGGAGGCAGAGTGAGACCCTATCTCAAAACAACTACAACCAAAACACTCCCAAAGACCCTGCAGCAAACCTTGTACCCGTATTCAGCTGTTGTATAATTTCAGATTTTATCACTTTGGACCTTTTTACCTGGGTGGTCAAATCCCACACAACAGGTGATGGAAAGTTCTGTGATTCCGGAGCCTGCATTGTGGGTATTGAGCCCTTTCTAATTGAGCCATTTGAGTTATTTTGAGGAGAACTCATCAATTATTTACTGGAGGGGCAGGTGCTTGACTGATGGAGGAGGAGTGAAACTGATGGGCCGGCTGTTCTATGTACAGACTTTTAATCAATAAGCCTCACATCTCACTTGCTCCCTCTGTTGTATCTGGGGCCTCCAGCTAAAAGCTCCTCCTATGGACTGCCCAGTGCCCTTGGATACCTCCCCCTCCACACAAACCCTAGGCAGTAGCTGCTTCTTTCTGGTTTCATTACCCTTGCCTTATCTCTAACTTCAAAAAGTTGGTTGACAGCTTCATTTGCTGATGGGCCCATTCATTTTTTTCACCACTGTAAGTTTTATTTATTTCTATGTTATTTTTCATTTTTACAATAGGGCGGGGTTCCAGTA